CCAAATAACATTACGTCCGACATTAGCCACCCTTTTCAGATGCTGTCCGAGCTCCAAAGCAATACTCTATTTAATTAAACTCTAAATTACTTCATCAGGATTACCCCCAATTTCAGGATTACCCCCCCAATAGTCTGTGGGTGCCGTTTGCGCATGAGAGTAGATCAAGAATATAAATGCAACACAGATCATCGATTTGCACATTGATCAGCTGGTATGCCAGTAATGAAGGCACCAACGACACTGCCCCTCGTCGCATACGAACAAGAGCCAAGCGAGCAACGAAATTGTGCAATATTCACTCATCCGCAGAAAATAAATGCTCAGTTTAACACGTAGGCTTTCGCGACCAATATTATTCATAATCAACGTTTTTGGGTTTAGATCGCGTTATTTATAAATGTGTCGTAACCCTCCACCACCCGACACGGCCAATCAGCAAAAAAATGTCACGTTGACAAAAGACAAATAGTTCACTGCAAAAAAAATTGTAAATGTTGTGGTTTCACGCTTCAACACACCGGTGGGGCTAAAGCAGTGAACAATTTGTCTTTTGTCAACGTGACACTTTTTTGTCGATTGGCCGTGTCGGGTGGTGGAGGGTTACGACACATTTATAAATAACGCGATCTAAACCCAAAAACGTTGATTATGAAAATAAATGCTCTCTTTAAAAGAAAAAAACTCCTAACAAGGTGACAACAAGATCCTCTCTCTCTTGGCGCAAGCGAAACACTCCCCCGTTGATCGCCACAAGACGGCGCGTTCCAAACGTGTGGGTGAAAGTCCTCCCCACGTAACCACATGCCCCTCTCGCTTTCGCTTGTGGATGCGATGGCTATCGCGTGGAAGAAGCGGTTCGCTATCACTGCTTGACAGCATGAATGGCGCATACAGGGCTAAGGGACAGCCTTGCATGCGTGCAAACTTCCCCCCCCCCCCATCTCTCTGCTTAATCCCCACAACACTGTCCTGAAGATGCCTATCTCTTAGCACATGCACGGTTTTGTAGTCAATAGCAGTATAACGCGTAATATATACACACACACATAAACACGCCGGATCGGGAAACTGCATAAACAGTGTGGACGAGTTGTTGGCAAAGTGTGACTCCACACTTGTGAATTTCGGGATTATTGCACGCTCTTTTTGAATGTTGGAGTAGCAGTTTCCTGTAAATGACTATGGCATAGCGCAAAACATCCCAGAGAACAAACACAAATATGTGAATCCACTAGTTATCTAAACATATAATAACAATGGTCTTTTGTATGGGTGACCAGTGTCTGAATTTGCAAAGGAGATATTGTATCGCGTTGGGCAAGCGTTCACCTGCTTCTAAATAAAGGAAATTGAAAAAAATCGTGCCTTATCACATTGCAGATTACTCTCCTGTTAATGTTGTCAGTGGGCTTAAGAATGAGGGTGGCGGTGGCATGGGCTATATGCGGTTTGGGTTACACATTGTTGAAGGATTCTGGGTCGGAGTCATGTTTAATAAGTGTGTTTTGCGAAGGCTTGAGTTTCACTTAATGGTCTCACAACATAAAGTGCACGACTCACGTACTGTACAATGGAGGTAGCTTTCAAAAAGCGTATTTTTTTTTATAATGCATATGCTGCACATTAAAACAAATATGACAATCAACATTTTGCTTGCGTTCAAAGGTGTACCTTACAAACAACTCTCCCCCACATCTATGACATACCAGCACACAATCATCATGAAGTAAATTAATGGTACCGAATTCAGCCTGCATTACATCTATAACGTAACTGTGAACGTTTTTTTTTGTTACTTTTTTAAAGCCACGCAGTTTTGCGATTGTCAAATGTCTTGATTTATATCATAAAACTGTCCCAGAGCATCATTGTCAACGCAGCAATGGGCAGCAAATAAAATAGTCATTATACTCCAGACACATCAGTAGCATGAACCATGGGGTAAAATCCACTGCTAGATGAACGCGTCACCATGCCACTTCGGTCACTGGGATTTTGACCGAACTTTGCTATTAATTAGTACGTAGTCAAAAAAAAATCAGCTGTTAAGTTTTCTAATCCAACCCACCGATGTATGCTCCTACATGCGGACATTTGAAATATATATTCAAGAGCGGCCAACCACATTATATTAAAAAAAAACTACTATAATAATTGTTCAATCTTGATTTGAAGCTTTATAATTGTTCACTTCACACCTGCTACGTTGTGGCTGCATGAATTATTTAAAAACCAACTGACCAATTGTGTAAAAAAGTGAAAATATTACCGATTTGATTTCCAATGCATGTGCCTGTTGTAATTTCACGGCCGTCTAAACGAGGTTATGTACTGAGTATGAATTGATTTGCATTTAGTACGCTTCGCTGTAATTCCTAAATAACAATTGTGTTTTGTGCTAATATATCCGTCGACTAATTTAAACGTGAGATTAATGCCCTTTATTTTTAGGAAGGCCTTATCCGACTCTTAACGTTAGATTTGCAGGAGGATCCCACGTCTGTATGCGTGGCCGGTTCCGTTAAGGGATTGGCACGTGTCAATAAATCGGGAGTACCCGAAGATAACCCAAGTGGAGATGGGGATACTTACTATCATCTCCGCACAGATCGACTGAACAATCACAACACTCTACCGCCACCTCGTGGCCTAAGTGGAATTAATAACACAACAACCACCCGCCACTTACCAAACAAAAGCCCCAAAAAACACACAACCCGTTCGTTAAAGCGCTGTCGTGAAACAAACAAAAACTAACAAAAAATCCTCCCATCGCTATTCATATTTAATACACGTCATTAACATCGCTTCGTACGTTACAGAGGATCCGAGAAAGACAGAGAGAGGAGTAAATAAATGAGGATAAGGACCGTCCCAGCCGCGCCAGGTGTCATTGCGAGAACATCGCGTTGAGAAAGTCGACGAATGCCACGTGAAGTCTTCGTCTCTACCATAGCACCTTGATGTTGTTGGCGTTACCACTCCATAAGTATATCGATGGGTGATCTGTACACGAAGGCATCGTCGGAGTCTCAAGAACCCCGTTAGCAGGAGGTATCCTTCAAATGGTATGTTCGCACAATTCCTCGATGCGCACACACGCCGTTTAACCGCGTGATGTTGCCAACGTTTCGCTGCGGGGGCCCTCTTCAGGAACAGAACATAGTTCATTTATTTTTTTAAATCTCCCAACTAAAAACGTCAACCCGAAACAAACCCGCGTGTCGAGCCCGCAAACACCAGCTGTGTTAGCACAACCACGACACACAACTAACAAGCACGACCTGACTTTGTCGGAACAAGGAGTGGGGGGGGGGCATCATGCAAACCGAGGACACACAAACACAACATATATACATCCCTACGGATACACCAGCAACCACGCTTTGCGCGAACGTAACTTGCATTGACAATAATCGCATTGGGGGGCACGTCGATATAGTTTAAAGCAGGCACACACACACACACAGACACGTGTGTTATTGCAGGGTGAACAGCGTGGTGCCTGCCCGCTTCTGGTAACGCGTGAGCGAGCGAGCGCTCAGCTGACGGTGTCGAGGTGCTGCTTTAGTTTACTCGCAACGCCCGACGACGACGACCACTTCGCCTCCCTCCTCCTCCTCCTCCCAACTCGCCCGTCAAACAAGCGCGCACGTGAACAATCACTGCCTGCGCGTACACACACCAGCACCAACACACACACACCACACACACACATACACCATACACACACAACACACCAGAACCATACACACACACACATCATACACACACACACACAACACCATACACACAACACACACCAGCAACATACACACAACACACCAGAACCATACACACAACATACACACACACAACACACCAGAACCATACACACAACATACACACACACAACACACCAGAACCATACACACAACATACACACACACAACACACCAGAACCACACACACAACACACCAGAACCACACACAACATACACACACACAACACCATACACACCAACAACACACACACCAACACCATACACAACACACACACACAACACCATACACACACAACACCATACACACAACACACACACACAACACACCACCAACATACATACACACAACACACACCACACACACGCCACACACACACCCCACACACACACACCACACACACACCATACACGTGCACGTTCGTACACACGTGCGCGTGTGTGAGCGCTGCGAGATTGTCAACCGGGGGATGATGAGACGAGGATGCCGAGGGAGTTGCGTTTCCCGTGCGCAGCCACAGACACAACGACACCCCCCATACCCCCACGTGTAGGGCCAAGTGCTGTTAGCGAGCACCTATTAAGGCCGGCACTGTGGCACACGAGCGGGTGGCCAGCACCGAACCCGGCCGCCTTTGTCTCCCCAGTGGAGATGTATTTTTTGTATTACTATTAAAATGTTCACGCACCGCACCAGGTACTCATTCGAGGCCGAGTCGACCTAGACGAGGGACAGCAGAACCACTTCGCACAATCGCCACTGGCGGTGGAGTCGAACTCTGCGCTCCGGGTTCGTAGTGCGGAGCGCTGAACGCGTTCACTTTACACACAGACACGGACGCAATCATCGATCATCACCACAACCATCATCATCACCATCATCACAACCATCATCACCATCATCACAACCATCATCACCATCATCACAGCCATCATCATCATCACAACCATCATCACCACCATCATCACAACCATCATCACCACCATCATCACAACCATCATCATCACCACCATCATCACAACCATCATCATCATCATCATCACAACCATCATCACAACCACCATCACCATCATCACAACCATCATCACCACCATCATCACAACCATCATCATCACCACCATCACCACCATCACCACAACCATCACCATCATCATCACAAACATCACCACCATCACAACCATCACCACCACCATCATCACAACCATCATCACCATCATCACAACCATCATCATCACCTTGCCGCTGGTGTAGTAGGGGAAGGATGCGCAGCGAGACGGATCCAGGCTCGAGTTGGGCTCTGCGGGAAAACATTTCCCAGCCGCCGGGGAATAGAATCTCAGGTCCATCGTGGCCACGGTCTTGTGGGTTGTCTCCTCGCCTCTCGTCCCCGGTGATCGCGATGATGATGATGGTCGATGTCTCTGCTGGCTGGCTGCTGTTGCTGTTGTTTGTTTGTTTGTTCCCGTTGCTAATAATGAGTTTTCGTTTTAGGAACGCATGCGCCGTATAGACGCGCAATAACTGCGGTAACTAGGCGTGCGTGGTTTACTATTACAGCTAATTAGTAAATGCTATGAGTTAATGATCCGGTGCTGCTCGTGGGTTATCTCCTGTCCCTCCCTTCCCCCCCCAAACCCCGTCTGAGACTGCCGACAAACGCCGCTTTCACAGCAGTTCAACTGAACGCGTAAAAACCAGCGAACCCCGTGGCTCTCCGAGCCTCCTGCGACATCAGTCCGGGTCTCTTGTTCCTCCTTCTTCCTCCTCCTTCCACCTCCACCCTCCTCTTTTCCCTGTTAGCGATTTACAAAGTAGACAGCGGAAACCGGCGGTGGCAGACGCATCATCATCAGCAGCAGCAGCGGATGATGATGATGATGTTCAGGAGGCAGGCGACGGGATTGCGCGTCTTTGTGAACCAACTTAAGCCAAAGTTGTCGCGTTAAAAAAACTCGACACGGACACGCGCAAAAGTTAATTGCGTTCAACAAAAAAGTCCCCACCGAGGGCGACTTTGATTGTTCCTCCACTTCGCGAGCCCCGTTAACTTCTCCCGGGACGCCAATTCCGAGTTCACCGTCGCTGTAGTTTCGAGAGCAGCAACCAAAAAAAAATTGATTCGACCAAAGTTGCGCTTATTACAGCATTCTTAATCTGTTCGCCTCTCTCCACCACCGACGCTGGCTGCTACTCTCTTCCTCTCCGTGTTGCGAATGTCTCTCCACCACCACCACCCCCCAGAGCCACGTCTCGCACCACCACCACCCCCCAACACAACAACCACCCCGCCTGTCTCACTCACGCGACAAGACGGCCGGCCCCCCTCTGATTGTCTTCCGAATCCAATGGCGCACAGCGAGAATATTTAGCGCGTTGGACTGCCCCCTTTCTAGTGATGATGATGTTATCCCAGCACGGGACGCGCCGCACGAGGTGACACAACAAAGAAAGGACGGCCAGGGAACAAGCGACTCCCGGCACCGACGATGCCGCTTGGCCCGTGGATGAGAAGCAGCACAACAACAATAACCACAGTCGCTCTTTGGAGCGGTCTCCCTTTGCTGCCTCGCTACTCCTGCTGCTGCTGAACAGTCACAGGTTCCTACCACCACCAAAAAAAATAAAAAAAAATTGAGTAAATAATTGTTCTAGATGCTCGTTAAAGAGGCCCAAAAACCCCTATTTCCCCCCCACCCACCAACTCACGCAAAAAAATATATTTACGCGATAGAGTTAACTGCCTTTTAAACACGAGCTGTAATATTAGAACGTCAATTTTGCCGGTGGCCCCCCTCCCCACCCGCCAGCCACCTTTATATTATATTTATTTTATTTATTATTTAAACAAACTGCTTACAGCAATCACAGCTGCCCGTCAAAGCCACTATCAATCTCGCCGGGGGAGTAACATGCGGACGTTGGTCACGGCAAAGTGAGCGCTAATGCTCGGTACGGTCAAGCGCCCCACTGCTTAGGTGTTGGAAGCCCCGTGGTCGCCTGCGCAAGCCCCAGATCTCACCCCCCTCCCTCCCTCCTCCTCCTCCCTCTCCGCCTCCTTACCCCCCCACCCCCCAGGGGGAGGGGTGGCTGGGCTATGATGGGATGGGGTGGGGTTGGGACTGTGAGTAATGCAATGGGAGGGGAGGGTTCGTGGAGCAGGGGAGGGAGGGAGGTATGATGGTGTCGTGGGCTGGGTTGGGATGGGTGGGGTTGGAGGGGGTTGCGCTGGGTGTGCGCGCAGCGCCAACGCACATCAGCTGCCCTGCCCACTTGTTATACGGGAGCGCGTAGACACCCCCCACCCCCTTCTGGTGTGGCTCACCCATCCACCAACCCACCCATCCACCAACCCACCCATCCACCAACCCACCCCACTCCTCTCTCTTCCTGCTCGTTCATCCCCCACGCATCCACCCACCACTCCCTCCCCACCGCACCGGCCCCTACACCCACCCACCCACCCCCTTCTCTCTCTCTCCCTCTCCCAGTCGTGAGCACGAGAGATGAGCTGAGACCAGGCCCACTGCTCCATCTATGGGTATGATGTAATGTAATTGTGTATCCAATCCGACGGCGCGCTGCGCGAATTGCGTGGGCAGTGGAGGAGGGAGGAGGGGGGGGAGGTGGCATTCATTCATTATTTACGTATTTGATTCTTTCTGCTCGCAACGGGGTAAGAAGAGAGTGAGATGGAGAGAGGGAGGGAGGCATGCAGCCAGCTCTCGCAATTGTGTCGGGGTAGAGTGCCATGGGTGTCCGACTGGAGTACTACACGCAGAGGATAATTAAGCCGCACATTCGCGTGATCACATCTCTTAATCAGTGTTATCTGTAACCATGCATATCAATAATGCAAATTACCGACACATGGCACACAGAGAAAAACCACTGGATGTTTTAATTGCATGCCTTTTCACGCTTTGTTTTGGCATGTACATTAACATAAGCGTGTGGTTATGCAGTGGCCAGTGCCTTAGTTTTTAGGGCTGTGTAATTCATCCTTTTGAGATGTGTACTTGTTTATATACAACGTGTGTATACATATATATGCAATGTGCTCATAACAGATGAATAAAAAAAACATTCCCACGCCACGGTAAATTAAAAAGTCAAAGTGTCGTCCTTGCCAGTGGTAAAACAAACAAAAACTCCACGTTGATATGACGGGTCTCGTCTAGCCACCTAAAGTAAAAAAAAATTAACGGTGCAACCCTGCAATAACTTGCTCATACCACTGCTGGCAGAAGGTCCTTCACTAGAGACAAGGTCTCTATTGACTCTGGTGCCTGCTGTGAAAGGCAATTGCCAAAAACGCCACCGATTATAGTGTTTTTCTTTTTAAATGCAATGCTATGGAGGAACGTGCTGAGGTTATTTTGTTATCCGTGCAAATGCAGTATCGCCAAGTAATTTCTTCTATTTCAGCGAGCTTTGCAGAGCCCCTCTGAAGGGTATTTTCGACTACTCTTCTACGTTGGCCGGAAGAGGTGGGGTTACCCACATTTTATCCCACCGCACCCAACCTGGTGATGGCCTGTGGCTTACCCATTATGCCACTGAGTAGACAGAGGCGGTTGGATATAATAAACTCGCACATTGCTTCACGTGCTGCACAAGGAGATCGCATTGAACCGGCGACCTCTGAATTGCAAGTTCCAGTGTGCTCACCATTCAACCACGACAGCTTCTCACACCACCTAAAGCATGGGTGGCAAACCTGTCGTAGACCGAGAGACAAAAAGGACCCAGAGACAAAAAGGACCCATGAGTTTTGCAAAGAGTCAAGTGTATGTATATAAGAGTGTATATGCATAATGGGGTTTTTGTGTGGTTGGATCGCGTAAATATATAAAAGTGTCGTTAAAACCCGCCACCACCCGACGCAGCCAACTAGTAAGGGTTGTCACGTCAACAGAACGTGGCCAATTCATATAACCCAAAAAAACTCTATTATGGATGATATTGGTTACGAAAACCTACATGTTAAACAGTGTATATATTGGCAGTTTTCGGCACAGCATGGGAGACATTCATTATTCTTCGCCGCTGTGATAGTATGTTCTACGTTATGCCCCTTCGATAGAGCTACATGTGGTGGATTATAGAGCCGCATGTGGCTCAGGAGACGCCGGTTAGCCACCGCTGACTTCTAAAGTATCGTTCCTTTTGAACCTTCCTCGATCTGAGGGCTGGTGGCGAGATGGATTCTCCGATGCCCACGGGGCTCTGTCTTTGGCTTTTCTTACGGGTTGTCCCATACTGAGCCCTGTCCAAGCAGCAACGACAGTGTCATCAATCCAAACCCTTCTTGGTAGGCATTGGCCTTTCGTGGGACTGAGCCTTGACTTAACATCTTCTCCAGGTAGTTGCCGGTTTTGTGCAGGACGTGTCCCAGGAATATCATGTAACATTTACTATTGTACACACAGGGCTAAATCGCTTGGTAGTATACCACTTTACACAGAGTATAATAATCGTGTACAATATATTTTCGGCTATTTTGTCAATTCACGGTTGGATAAAGAACCTCATTTCATCGTGTTGATCGTAGGGGTCGTTTGATCATACTTCACCAGGCTGGTCAGGCAGGTTGATGAAGAGGTGGAATCCAAGACAAATTCAGATTTACTTGCCACAGATGTTACCCATGGCTAAGAATAAAACCGACGTTGCCAGGTTCATACCACAATGCTCTAACCACTGTGCCGCCACTCCACCATCAAAACTTATAAATGTACACAGTTTGACATTATTTTGACATTTGCTATGTTAATATTCTAAATAAATGGCATTAAATAGTTATTTTTTAGACATTAAGAGCAGGAAAGGTGAGGGAGCTAAAATAGGTAGCCACAACACAGCATTTGTATTCAATGTAATATATACTGTGCACCGATTATGCACACAAAACAGAGACACTTATATTTTAAAACCACGCGATTAAAAGGTCACCTCGTGCAGTCCAGTATACAAATGTGAAATGCATATCTGTACATTTTAGGTATTTGGTTTACTAATTAACTCCTTTATTCAAACCATCAAGTTTCTTAAATCCCCCCCCCATCCCACCTCTGGATACATAACAGTTAAATATTGACTAAAGCCACGTGGCTTTACCAAAAGACCCAAAGAATATACATAACAGTAAGTCCATCGGCAGGTCACGTGGTGGAATCAAGTGGGCGAAAGCCTACGTGTTAAACTCCTCCAAGATATTATTTGGGTCTTTCGGTAAAGTCACGTACGTACGTGCCTTTACCGAAAGACACAAAGAATATGAATTCTCGCAGTCACGAAAGTTTCAAGTCAAGATTTCTCCTCCAAAATGTTTCGCCAGCATAAAACCTTCCATGACAAGGGCTCCCCGGAGCTCCCTCTAGTGGAGGCACTTCTATACTGCTTTACATTTTAGCAGGTCAGGCCCACTGAGCTATCTTAGCTCTTTTTCAGAAGCGACCTGACTATCACAAATGATAACTCAACGAAGTGGCTTATCACGTTCAAATGTATAGCAGCCACTGTCCTTTAAATGCACGTTAATTCTAAATGTGGAGGGGGAAACCAGAGGAACCCGAAGATAAATGCCACGCGACCATGGAGAGAACATGCAAACTACAAATATACAGGCGTCAGGGGTCGGGATCGAACCCACGACCTCTTGTGCACGGAGGCGCACCCAGCTGCAGCACAAGCACAGCAATGGAAGGGCGACTGCGCCTGGGACTGCACCATCTGGGATACATATAGGCAGTAGTGATACAGAGACGAGGGCACTCTTGAGAACATGCCTTGGTTATGCGTAATTATTGCAATTAATACAGTGTATCTGGCTCAGAATATGTTTTTAAAGCGCACGCTTTTTTACTGAATAGAAAAGATGGGGGGGGGGGGGGGCATGTCCAAAACAATTGGGGTTTTTTCACATGTTCCCTATTTGACAAAGACTTGTTTTCAACCATTTTGTTATAAACACACGTGTGTGCCATCTTTGTATCCACATGCCACTCTCAATGCTCTAATTGCCTTGTAGCAATTATTTGGCGCACGCTATAAATACGCACACACTGTATATATATTCACGAAACATTACCTTTCTTTCATGTGATGCCATATTAAATTATTTACATGTGTTAAGGCAAGTTGTTAATGTGGCCAAAGTAAAAAAAAAACTATAAATGCCACTAATAAAATGTTTAATTCTTTGTTTTTCCTTTGTTTTCACACAAAAGCCACAGCACAGAAAATCACCACCACCTGCCTGCTACTTTATAGCGGTCATAAAGACATAAAATGTGAAACAAAGTGGGCCCATTGACTAAGTATTTCTTTATATTTATGGCCACATTGTTCTTCCATTTTTCTGAAGTGAAGTCATGTGGTTATATTGTCGTGATGTTGAGCCAACATCCCCATGAAGCACGTCCCTTCTCTGCTCCCAAACACTGAATGTGGAATACACGCCGACGTAAATAAGATCCAAAAAACTAACTTTGTAAAGACACGAATGGAAAGATCGCTTTATTGATGAACAAACTCAACGCTAAATGGAATACATGTACACCCATCAAACGTTGTAACAAAAAAGTAATCCATTGCGGAATTCATCCCATTTATGTCAACGCTGCTTAGGACAGACGATAAGTAGAGGACAAACAGTTTTTTTAGTAATTAGGCGCTTGCAGAGCAATAGAGAAG